AGTTTGAGGCCACAGTGTGCCGCATGAGACCCCGTCTCAAAACAAGAAAAAGCAGGGGGCAGCACAGGCCTGAAGTCCACGCTGCTCTGGAGGCCGAGGCAAAGTCAGAGGTTTGTGGGCTGCTTGGCTATAGAGTGAGTTCCCAGAGACCCTGGTTAAAGGGTCAAACGACAGGGCTTGAGAGATGGCTCAGCCCATTAAGAATACTTGCAGCTCTGGCAAGAACAGTGTTCTCTTCCCAGCACCCACATGGTGCTCAAAATCACTTCTGTGAGATCCTGTGCCCTTGTCAGGCCTCTGAGGGCTACAGGCAGGCATGAAGTACACTTAAACACATGCAGGGAAAAAACAAAACAAACAAACAAAAAAAAACACAACACTCATACCTGTGAACTATAAATAAAGACATTTTTACTTTAGCAAAATAGCTTGGCTCGGTGGCACTTTTAATCCTAGCATTCAGGAGGCTGAGGCAGGCTTGGCCAGCATAAGGAGTTCTAGGCCAGCCAGTGCTGCACGGTAAAATCCTGCCTCAAAACAAAACAAATAAGAAAAGCAAGCAAGATAATAATAGATATATATGTTAAAAATTAAAATAATAAAAGCAATCAAAATAATAAACATGTTAAAATTTATACACACACACACACACACATATTAAAAACCAGTGTGGGGAATACAGCTTAAGGGTAGAGTACTTGTCTAGAATGTGTAAGACCCTGAATGTAGGGGCTGGAGAGATGGCTCAGTGGTTAAGAGCACTGTCTGTTCTTTCAGGGGTCCTGAGTTCAATTCCCAGGAACCCCATGGTGGCTCACAACCATCTATACTGGAATCTGATGCCCTCTTCTGGCGTGCAGGTGTACATGCAGATAGAGCACTTATATACATAAAATAAATAAATCTTTAAAAAAAAAAAAAGACCCTGAATTTAGACCGTGGCACCACAATTATTATTATTATTATTATTATTATTATTTTTGCTGCTGTTGTTGTTGCTTTGTTTTTTTGAGACAGGCTCTCTGTATTTGCTCTTGCTGTCCTGGAATTCCTTATATAAACCAGGCTGGTCCCCAAAAGCCCTGCCTGCCTCTGCTTCCCAAGTGCCGGGACTAAAGGTGTGCGCCACCACGCCCAGCGAGGCCAGACTTTACATTTCAGCCGTGGGGCTGGAGAGATGGCTCAGTGGTGAAAAGTAAGTACGGCTTTTGTAGAGGACCCAAGTTCAGCTTCTAGCACTCCCAGCAGGAGTAATTCAACTGCCTATGACACCCCAGATCTGGTAAATCCAGCTCCGTCTTCCGGACTCCCAGAGCACCAGAATTCATAATTGCGTATACTCACACAGAGACACATACACATAAACCATTAAAAATAAAAATAAATCCTTAAAAACTTTCAGCTCAAGCTGGGTGGTGGTGGTACCCATCTTTAATCCCAGCACTCGGGAGGCAGAGGCAGGCAGATCTCTGAGGTGGAGGCCAGCCTGGTCTACGAAGGGAGTTCCAGGACAGTCAGGGCTACACAGAGAAACCCTGTCTCGAGAAAACAAACAAAACAATTTTCAGCTCCGGTTCTTACTGTATAAACCTGCCATCAATCATTTGCTGATAAGTACAAATCAATGCCTTCTAGGTGAGTACACAGTTAGCTTGCTCAGCACTCGAGAAATGATCTTCAAGGATCTTTAAATAAATATTTAATTCATGTAGCTTTTGATTTTGGAAGGTGTTTAATGACAATGGAGTCAATGTTTTAAAGTAATTTCAAAGTTTGTATTGTGCATGGGTGTTTTGCTCGAGTGTTTGTCTGTCTACCACATTTGTGACTGGTGCCCAAGGAGGCCAGAAGAGGGCATCAGATCCCTTGGACCCGCCATGTGGATGCTAAGAACCAAATCTGGGTTCTCTGTAAGAACTGCCAGTTCTCAGTGCTCCTAACTGCCGAGCCATCTCTCCAATCTCTCCAGCCCCTGTTTTAAAAATATAATTTTCAGGTTTTTTTTTCTTTTTTTCTTTTATTTTGAGATAGGTAGGGTTTCAGTATATAGCCTTAGCTGCCCTGGAACTATATAAACCAGGCTAGCCTCAGACTCACAGAGAGCCACTGCTTCTCAGGAGCTGAGATTAAAGGCAGGCATAATCCTACCTGGCTCCCGTTTTAGATTTTTAAATTTTACGTATGTGAGTGTTCTGCCTACACGTGTGTTTGTGCGCCGTGAGCACGCGCGGTGCTGACGTCAGAAGAGGGTATCCGATCCCCTGAACTGGAGTGACGGATGACTGTGAGCCGCCATGTGGGCGCTAGTGACCGGGATGGGTCCTCGGCAAGAATAAGTGAGCTTAACCGCTGAGCCATCTTTCCAGCACAGTATAAACATTTTCTGTTTGTTTCTTCGTTTGTTTTTTTTTAAATGAACTCTTTTTTTTAAGGTTTATTTATTATTTATACAGCATTCTGCCTGCACACCTCACTATAAATCTCTGTAAATCTCACGATAGATGGTCGTGAGCCACCATGTGGTTCCTGGGAATTGAACTCAGGACCTCTGGGAAAACAGCGAGTGTTCTTAACCCCTGAACCATCTCTCCATCTTCTGGACGCCTTCTTCCTCTCCTCCGCCTCCTCTTTGGTGTTTTCGAGACAGGGTTTCTCCGTATAGCTCTGGCTGTCCTGGAACTCTCTCTGTAGCTCAGGCTGCCTCTGCCTCCCCAAGTGCTGGGATTGAAGGCGAGAGCCGCCATCGCCCAGCTGAACACGTTCTTAAAATGACGGGAAAGAGAACTTATTCATGACTCCAGCGCGGACGCGGAGGGTGGGCACATATTCGCAGCACATTTAGAAGAAGGCAGATCTGTCGTGAGTTCGAGGTCAGCCAGGATTATACTGTGAGGCCTTGTTTTTGTTTTTTAATTATTCCAATAAAGAGCATTTTCAAGTTGTAAAGAACTTGAATGTTTTCTGTTTGTTTCTTTTCTTGGTAATTCTGTCTCTGCCTCTACTTCTGGGATTACAGGTGTGAGCTGCTGACAATTTACAGTGATTCTTCTAGTCAAAAAAAAAACAAAAAAAAAAAAACAAAAAACCGACACAAATCGAGAACCTCGTTTTAACCCCGCGAAGCCAGGCTCATCCTACCCTCCTCTCTCCCTAGGTTGCCGATTCGCTGTTTCTGATCCCCGCAGAAGCAGCTTCCTCAGCTGCGAGGATCTGGCCCACGCTGGGGAGCAGAGGCGACTTTCTCAACTCAATCTTCTTTTTAAGTTCTCCTCCTCTCTCTCTCCAGAGAGACAACAGAAATAATTGATCCATCACCCGGGACCGGACACAGATTCCCATGCAAATTCCCTCCCCTTTGCAGACCCCAGAGCTGCAATCCTAGCCTGCTGGGGGCGGGGGAGGGGGCGCATTTTCCTTCGGGCCGCCCCACCCCTCAGCCAGGTGAGAAGAGGAGACCTTCTCTCCTCAACTCCGGCCTCCTCCGTCGCCACACACGCCCTCTTTCTGGTGTAGAATCACTTAAAGTTTGGGTAGAACTCCCCTTTCTCCCGGGAGATCGAATCTGGAAGCTTTTAGGAGGCGGGAGCAGGAACGGGGAGGGAGAAGCCAAATTCCCCAAAACATTCGTCAGACGCAAAGAGCGTCGTTTCTTCGCACAAAACTGCCCATCACCCCCCCATCCCCCCCGCCATTAACTTTCGATTAAGACCTCCTCCTTAGGGCAACTAAACTTCACTTTGCATAATTAAGATTTTCCTCGGAAGGGGTGGGGGGTGGATTGAAACCTCAGCTCCGGGCCTTTCTCCTTCACCTCACCCCACACCCCCGCCCCAACCCCGCAGCCTGGCCTCTGAGTTCCTGAATTTTCTCACTTTGAGGTGCCACCGAACACAAAGAACCATAATGGGCTCCTTTGTGCTCGCTACGGGGCAATTACACCCCGGAGTCCCGGCCCCTTTAAGAGCCTCTTAAAGAGACAGGCTCTCGTTTCTCAGAGGGTTACTTTAGGGTGTGTGTAGGGGGAGGGGGGAGGCAAACTTCTAGGGTTCCTTGTGGGGGGGGGGGGGGGGGGCAGAAGTGACACTTTCTGCCTCGACCCTGAGAGAAGTTGTTGCAAGCTGTTCGCTTACGCGCTCTTACACGGACACACTTATGTTCATGTATATATATATTATTTTAAATCTTGAGATTTTTCTTTTCACTTGGTTTTTATAAAGGGGACTGAAGTGTGTGTGTGGGGGGGAGCGGGGAGTTGTTGAGCGGGGCCGAGAGCAGCGAGCTCCGGGGCCACGGGCCAGGCCCGAGCTTGCTGGGTCACTCCGGGGGACCCGGTCTCCGGACCTCGCCTCGGCGGCTCCGGAGAACTCGCGGACGGAGCAAACAGCCCCTAATATAATAATAGCTTGTCTCTTTAAAAACAGCAAAAGGAGGCGGGGGCCGGGGGGGGAGCAGAGTTTTCTTGGCATCTGGTTTCTGAGCTCATTAGGTTGTGGTCGACCAATCCAGCCCTCGGGGCCGGTCCTCGGGTTTAAATCTGATTGGCCGAGAGCACATTTTGGGACGGGGCAGAGCTCGACGGGGCGGTTTCAAGGATCCCTTCTTTTGGGGGGGCGGGGGGGGGGGGGCGGCTGAGGAGAGGGCGGGGCCGCCAGCGGGGGCCCCCTTGAAACCGACTAATTGGGATCGGAGAGGCCGAGGTGAGGGCTGAAGAAGGCACAAAGGAGTCGCTGGCGGAGGAGGGTGGGGACGAGGGGCAGCCCGGAGGCGAGAGGAGGAGGAAGAGGAGCGAGGGCAGCGGCGCGCCGCGTCTCCGACCCCTCGGTCCGACCGCGGCGAGCCGGCCGGCGGGTGCGCCGCCGCGCGCCCCCCCCCGCCCCGGTCCCCCGCCCCGGCCTCCCCAACTCTGCGGCCGCGAGCAAAGTTTGCCGAGAGGCGCGGGAGGCGGCGGGGAAGGCGCGCGGTGTCCGCGCTGGGGGCGGGGGCTGGGGGGCGCCCGGGAGCCGAGCGGGGGGCGGCGGCGGCGGCCAGCATGCGGGCCCGCAGCGCCCTGCCCCGCCTGCTGCTGCTGCTGCTGCCGCTGCTGCTGCTGCTGCCGGCCGCCGGGCCGGCCCAGTTCCACGGGGAGAAGGGCATCTCCATCCCGGACCACGGCTTCTGCCAGCCCATCTCCATCCCGCTGTGCACGGACATCGCCTACAACCAGACCATCATGCCCAACCTGCTGGGCCACACGAACCAGGAGGACGCGGGCCTGGAGGTGCACCAGTTCTACCCGCTGGTGAAGGTGCAGTGCTCCCCGGAGCTGCGCTTCTTCCTGTGCTCCATGTACGCGCCCGTGTGCACCGTGCTGGAGCAGGCCATCCCGCCGTGCCGCTCCATCTGCGAGCGCGCGCGCCAGGGCTGCGAGGCGCTCATGAACAAGTTCGGCTTCCAGTGGCCCGAGCGCCTGCGCTGCGAGCACTTCCCGCGCCACGGCGCCGAGCAGATCTGCGTGGGCCAGAACCACTCGGAGGACGGGGCGCCCGCGCTGCTCACCACCGCGCCGCCCTCGGGGCTGCAGCCCGGCGCGGGGGGCACGCCGGGGGGCCCCGGGGGCGGCGGCGCCCCCCCGCGCTACGCCACCCTGGAGCACCCCTTCCACTGCCCCCGCGTCCTCAAGGTGCCGTCCTATCTCAGCTACAAGTTCCTCGGGGAGCGCGACTGCGCCGCGCCCTGCGAGCCCGCGCGGCCCGACGGCTCCATGTTCTTCTCCCAGGAGGAGACCCGGTTCGCCCGGCTCTGGATCCTCACCTGGTCGGTGCTGTGCTGCGCCTCCACCTTCTTCACCGTCACCACCTACCTGGTGGACATGCAGCGCTTCCGGTACCCGGAGAGGCCCATCATCTTCCTGTCGGGCTGCTACACCATGGTGTCGGTGGCCTACATCGCGGGCTTCGTGCTCCAGGAGCGCGTGGTGTGCAACGAGCGCTTCTCCGACGACGGCTACCGCACGGTGGTGCAGGGCACCAAGAAGGAGGGCTGCACCATCCTCTTCATGATGCTCTACTTCTTCAGCATGGCCAGCTCCATCTGGTGGGTGATCCTGTCCCTCACCTGGTTCCTGGCGGCCGGCATGAAGTGGGGCCACGAGGCCATCGAGGCCAACTCGCAGTACTTCCACCTGGCCGCCTGGGCCGTGCCGGCCGTCAAGACCATCACCATCCTGGCCATGGGCCAGATCGACGGCGACCTGCTGAGCGGCGTGTGCTTCGTGGGCCTCAACAGCCTGGACCCGCTGCGCGGCTTCGTGCTGGCGCCCCTCTTCGTGTACCTGTTCATCGGCACGTCCTTCCTGCTGGCCGGCTTCGTGTCGCTCTTCCGCATCCGCACCATCATGAAGCACGACGGCACCAAGACGGAGAAGCTGGAGAGGCTCATGGTGCGCATCGGCGTCTTCTCGGTGCTCTACACCGTGCCGGCCACCATCGTCATCGCCTGCTACTTCTACGAGCAGGCCTTCCGCGAGCACTGGGAGCGCTCGTGGGTCAGCCAGCATTGCAAGAGCCTGGCCATCCCCTGCCCGGCCCACTACACGCCGCGCATGTCGCCCGACTTCACCGTCTACATGATCAAATACCTCATGACGCTCATCGTGGGCATCACGTCGGGCTTCTGGATCTGGTCCGGCAAGACGCTGCACTCCTGGAGGAAGTTCTACACGCGCCTCACCAACAGCCGGCATGGAGAGACCACCGTGTGAAGAGGCCTCGCCTGCCGGGCGGCCCCCTCCTCCTCCTCCCCCCCAGGTCCGGACCTCACCGAGCCCTCCTTCCCTCGGGGAAGGGGGTGCGCCCTAACGGACTCCTCTATTTTATTTTTTTAAATAAAGAACAGTTAAAAAAAAAAAAAAAGAAAAGAAAGAAAGAAAAAAAATCCGTTTTATTTTTAGGTCGCTTTTTTAAAAAAAAGAAACTCTGCCCCAACACCCCCCCCACCCCCTACCAGGTTTGTAATTAAAACTGTAAATAGTCTTTGTAAATTTAATTATATATTTTCTATTTAAAAGGAAAAAAAAGGGGGGAGAAAAAAAAAAAAAGCAGCGAGAGCGCCGGGCCTGAAGAAGGGGGTGGGGGAGGAGGTCTCGCCTTTTCTAAGTGCCCTTTTAAAAGCCGCCCTGTGCTCTGGTTCGGATTTTTTGGTGATTTGGCAGGGCTGGGCCTGCTGGGAGAGGCACCTAGCCTGCTCGCTGTTTTTGTTGGCTTAAAGGAGTTGGGAGTTAGTTCCACTCAACTTCTATAAAAGCCAACTTTGCAAGCCTCCTCGCGGACGGGGCCTGTGGAAGCTGTTGGATTTTTTTTTTTTTTTTTTTTTTTTAACAAGACTTGGATTCGTTTTGTTTTATTTTATTTCCCGTTCTCCCCGCTCCACCCTCCCCCCCCCTTCCCTCCTCATTTGTTCTGTCTCCCTCTCTCGATATCTGGAAACCTCCCAATCCAGATGCAGACGTGGAAAAAACATACCGCTTTTAGGGAGAGGGCGGAGACGTGGGGGGGGGGGGGGAACGGCCTCCATCTCCCTCGCCCACTCCCCCGCGGGCACGGAGAACCTTCCGTGGTTTCAGCTCTGGCCCACGTGCAGAGGAAGGACGGCAAGACGCTTTTATGAAGTGTGTTTTGACATCCCCCACACACCATTTTAAAAGCGACCCTCTTTCCCTGGGTTTTAGGGATACCACTAGCCCCTGAAAAGTGTACTTGCAAACCCTGGGGTCTCCTGCGTTTGGGTTTCCCTGCTCTCCCGAAGTGGCATCCAGGTTAGCAATCTGTAGAATCTGGTTGCGTGTTACGTGTGGGGTTTTGGTGGTTTTGTTTGTTTGTTTATTTTTGTTGTTGTTGTTTCCAAAAGCAGTACAAACGGGTTGGGTTGGAGGGAGGGGAGTTGGATGGGCTGGTGGGATTTTTAGTCTTTCTTTTGACAAAAGACAGGCCTTTAAGAAAATAAAAACAACAAAAACTAGTGGGTAAGTTTGCTTTCGAAGGCCTCTCTAGGGAAGCTCTTTGTGGCTGTGGGGGGTGGGGTCGGGTGTTTACATGACATTCTATATCCTAAGGTTGATAGAAGGTTTTTCTGAGCTGTTTTTTCTTAAGTTAGCTGCCTGGGGGATGGTGATGCATGAAGGTATCTTTGCTGGTGTGAGAATTCCAGTTTCCAGCACACACCAGCAGTTCCACTGCTTTAGAACTTGAATGCTAAAGAACCGATGTGGAGACCGGGTAAGCCAGAGCTCTGCTTACGCCGTCTCTGCTGTTTCTTGATAATAGTGCAAATTAAAACCTAATAATCATCATCATAAAGCGCATTTAATTATCTCCGGAGATCCAGCCCTTTAATTGTATTTAACAGGGTTGTAACTCCCCCCCCCCCCATTAACCAAAGCACACCTTCCCCTTTCCTCCTCTGCACCTACTTCGTTGGGGGTTGGGTAGAGCAGGCTCCTTTCCCAGTGCCTCAATTGTTTGGCCAAATAGTTATGGGAAAACTGATTTCTTATCTTTTTGTTGGCTGACTTGGGGACAAGGGAGAAAGTAAGTTGGAACCCCTACTTGTGTGTGTGTTAGTTTGTGTTGGGGGAGGGGAAGTGGAAATGTTTGGTGGTAATTTAAGTCATATGTGGGGCTTTGCTTGCAATTGTATTGAAGCCTGGGCATTTCAGCAGAGCCGCCCCCCCCCTTCCCAAAATACATAGTCTCTCTCCAGACTCTTTGTGCTGAATTCACTAAGTCTCAAGATAAATTTGACTTAACTATCAGAGTGCTTGTGGGGACAAAAAGCAGTTTCACCACCTCAGGGCTCTTTTACCTTTAAAAGGCTGTAGAAAAGAATTAAATTCCACACAAATTATGCATGCATCTCCTGGCTATAAAGGTGAAAACCGAGGAATCAAGTGGTTTTTTTTTTGTTTTGTTTTGTTTTTTGTTTTGTTTTGTTTTTGTTTTGTTTTTGTCTGGGGCCAAGTGTGGTAGAAAAAGGGATTCTGGTTTCTGCTGAAGGTTTGGGGAGAGCCTCTAAGGTTACCCGGCTCTTGGCTCTGCGTGCTTTTGCTGACATCCGCTTCCGTACCCCTCACAGGAATGGCTCAAAGAGTGGTGGACTGGTGACAATTGCCTTTTATTCCCAGTTCCCTCCCCCTACCTCAAGGTCTCCTGCCAACATAGGGGTACAGAGCCTACAACAATGGGACAACAATGGTTCCATGACAGGGACGGGGGGGGGGGGGGGAGGAAAGATAAATTAGCCTTCTGGAGAGCCACAGATCCTAAAAATGGAGCTCCCCACTCGGCCCAAGAGGTGGCCAAGGGACCGAGGTGCCTGAGAGAAAGCAGTGAAACTTAGGGTGAGCCCTCCCTACACCCCGCTCCCACTTAAATAAAACTTTAGGCCACAGTGTGAGGGAACCCCAGCGCTATACTGCCTGAGCGTTAGGCTTTTAGACGCCTGGAATCTGTCTTCATTGTTTGGAACGCCGAATTAAACCCCACGGACTTGTGCTTTCCAGGTCCTACAAGCCGGAACTACTTTCCATCCTATAAATGGGTTAATCCTTCCCTCTGGAGGAAGGCCTTGCATTTGATGGAGGGTAGGACTGGAAAGGGAAACTTGGTAGGGCACAAGCCACGGGTGACGTTTCTCTATTCTCTCAAGTCCTAGGGCAACATGGCTGCTTCACTGTGGCCAGCTCTCTCCCTGCGGCTCCCTCTCCTTACTGTTCAGACTGTTGTCCCCAACTCTCCCCAAACTGGCCTTACCTCAGAAACATTCCCATTGTTACACACTCTTAGTCCTTTATGAGAACGTTAGAAAGTTAGTGTCTAAAAGGGCCACTTGAGTTTCCCAAGACAAGGGGCTGGAAAGTTGGCTCAGCGGTTAAGAGCATTCGTTGTTCTTATGAAAGGCCTCGGGTTCGAGGGTTCATATTCCCAACACTCCCATGGAGGCTCACTACTTCCTTGGGTGACATGCAGGCAAAGCACTTACTAAATCTGAAGAAGAAGAAAAAAGGTTTCTAAGACAAATTCCTCCACGTATGCCCCAAAGGTTCAGTATTGGGTTCTTTTTAGTGGACCTGTACCTGCCAACTCCTGGATCATTAAGAGGGGGGGGGGTAGCCAGGAGGTGCTGGGGTTCTTGATTCGGTTGGATTCTGGGTTTGTTACCTGTATGCTATAGGGCACGAACATGAGTTCAGGGAGTCACACCCCTGCCACTTCAGTGCCATTGCCCCTTCTGCGGATTTCCTGCTCACCGCATCACCTCGAACTCCCGAAGTTTCCGGTGGCAGAATGTACTGACTCAGAGAATATAGCACACCCCCGGCTCTTCGTGGGGTTGGGGAGTGGGAAGAGGCATGCCCGCATGAACACACGTTTGCATTTAAGTTTAGGAGGGCTTCTGGACCATTTGGCCACCTCCCCCACCCCAGCTAATTCCAGTAGCTCTCATCTCTGCTGTGTGACAGAAATCTGTGTCACGGACATGGTAGCTCATACCTGTAATCCCAGCAGAAAGACGGCTGAGGATTGCCTGGGCCACAAAGTAAATTATGGGCCAGCCTGGGCTACAACAAAACTCTCTTAAAACAACAGTAACTACACATACACACACACACACGGGGTGGGGGGCGCAACTAACTGGGCCTACAAAAGCAGAAACACCCCCCAAAAAAAATTCTCTTTGGATGATGGGATTCTTTTACTCTCAGGTAATAAATTATCAGCCATAGCAGAGTTGATGAATGGGCCATGCAGTGTATTTGCGAGGGACAAAAGGCAGGTAGGTCTCTGCAGCTAGGAGTGGAGAGATGCTTGGATGAGGCCACCCAGTTGTGTGCACTTCTGAAGGTTTTCTCTATATGGTGTCCCCAGCGGGGAGAAAGGCCATGGTTCCCGTCCTAGATAATTCTAGATCAGGTGAGACAGACAGACAGCCCAGAGCACATGCCCAAGAGACCCTAGCACTTTTCCGACTACTTAGGCTAAATTCCTGAAAGTAGGATGACTGGCTCCAAGAACGTACATTTCTTGAGGGCCTTGTTAACCTATTGTTACTGGTACTCTCCACAGATTAGAATGACTTCCCATGATCCCAGGTTCCATCTTTGATCCCGCATGGTAGCCTAGTGTCGGGGTGGTGGTGGGCAGCAATGCCCCTTCTCTGATAAGGACATAAATGTCTTTCTTGCCTGCCTGAGTGAGTAGGGCACACACCAAGATGGGACAGCCTCTTCGACAGCTTTGAAGCCAGCTAATTAGGGCTAGGACTGTCACAGCTGGCTTCCTCCATGCCCCCACCCTGCTCCTCCTGGACCTCCTGCCCCAGCTTCCCTGAAAGCCTTTCCCCAGCCGCCTTGCCCACTGCCTCCTCCGAGCCCTCTACAAGGCACAGCACAGCACGTGAGATTTTGCAAAGCGGAAGGGCTAAGGCAAAAGTAAGTGAGATGGAGAGGGTGGGATTCACTCGGGACAGGGAGCAGTTTAGAATCTTGACTGCCAGTTGCCTAGAATGTCTCCTCGGTCCCAAGGACTATCGAGGAGCCAACCTGAGCTGGGAGCTGAGCTCTGAGCCCTTTGTTTGAAAGCCAAAGCTTTCTGTAGGTTCCAGATTTCCAATCTGGCCCTTATAATTAGCCCCAATCAGAGTGTTTATGTCAGGGCCTAGGACGGAACTCAGAGGCCCTTGATTTCATTCAAAACCTGGGGAGGGGTGGAGGAGAGGGAAAGGAAGTTGTGTGGGGCAAGGTGGAAGGTGGTGACAGGGGCCCTG